TGAATGTCTGGAGGTGTAGGCACCTCGGAATGATTGTGTTAAGCTAGCACTAAGTCCTTCCCTCATCCACCTTTAATCTTTTCTTCACAATAAGGCTTTCAAATAAGTCATGGTTGTACGGCAGTGAAGCATCGGTGTTGAACACTGATGTCATGCTGTCGATGATGATGATGATACCTACAGATCTACGCCCTAAATTTCTGGTGCGATTGGTTAAGGATATTCGAATGAATCATGGCGATAACAAAGGGCAAGGGGGAGTATAAACAACAGAAATTGCCATTCAGTGCAACAAATTATCCACAGCATGAGCTAATTGCGGTCGATTGAGACTACCAGGAGAGTCAGCAGTTTCACGCTGCGTGATCTTTGTGTTCTTCCTTCGGCATCCTGCCACCCCTTTACAATTCATTATGTCCCTCAATGTTGCGAGTGCTTTTCACCTCACCGAAAATATTCAGACGTCCTGTTAGCCTTGATTTGCTTTAGGACAATCGACCTCCGTTGATGACTGCTCGCTATGTTTACGTGGGCATGGAACTTCGCCTTCTCCTCTAACGCTTGTCCAGAAATCTGTCATGCTTGGTTCGGCTGGTCTACACATGGCTTCAGTCACATACCATTTGAAAATAGATCTTGAGCTGCATTTGACAATCTGGGTTTGTTATAAGCGAGTCTTGGTTCCCCTGGCTGGGATGCTATTATCAGGCACCACAGTAGGACTTGGAGCGCATATGCGGTGTAAAAAAGCGATCGGTCGTAGCACCTTTTTGGGTGCACAACTGCCACGTCAGTGTAGGTTGCCCAGACAGGGGAAGTCGAGATACAGAGGTCTGGCTCGAACCACGGACCTTCCAGTCGGTAAATTCGCCCTCTAAACACTGGTGTGGCGAGTGTGACAATTATATTTTTGAAAGTTTGAAGTGATAAACGAAATCTGTGTTATCCAAACAACAGGAAGTTGTCCAAGGCCTCAGGACACTGAAGAATAACCTTTTCTTATGGTTAACTTTAGCAAGCCTGTCTAACAAGTTAATACAAAGCAAGCTTAATTTTTTTAAACTGTCGGCAGGTGAACCGGCCATCGAGGTGAGTTTTGCATTCCGACTTTGAAAAGCGACATTCTTGTCTACTGAACACTGCACCATGCGGAGACTTGTTGACAGCACCTGAAATTTTTTCCCCAGCGAGTCTAATACAAGCGACGGATGATTTTGAAAGAGTGATGGGGGCACAGTCATATTTGGATATCACTATTACCACAACCTCTTAATGTTTTTTTCGTTTTTGCGACCAATGAGAAGTTCATGAAGGGTTCCGTGGGATCTCAATGAAAAACGTGATCCTATATTGGTTCATGTACACTGCAACAGTGCTTTCAAGTACTTATTCCATTTACACCGTATGTTTGAACGAGGCACTTCTCTATCACGTAATCTCCGGCTGGTTACACGGTTTCTGTATGTACGTGATGTGAGCGAATCGACACAAATCAGCGATACGTAGAGCTCCACCCAGCGACCATACATAACCATAAAGTCTTGAATGAGTTACTGTGCGGGTGAATTATGTATGATGAAACGACGGGAACTTTTTTGTGAGGGTATCGTAATAGAATCACCCGTCATATTTGTTCCCATTAAACACATGCACCCATTCCAGGGTTCCAGGTGATATGAACGTAAGAACTTGAGGCGCAGCTGAATTCAGGGTAAAATTGACTTTTCGGGCGAGCGGGGTTTGACCGGCAATTAACTCACCTCATAAGCCTCTCCTAATTCCTGAAATTTCTGTTCAGCTTCGGGATCGTCCTTATTTCTGTCTGGGTGGAGAACTTTTGCTTGCTGTCGGAACCGTCGCTTTATTTCATTGGTGTCAGCGTTCCGCTTCACATTTAGAATGGTGTAGTAATCTCGCCTAAAGCCATTGTACATAAAAAAACAGTCATTTACTCAGCAAAGACGACAACCGCAACTGAGAGAACCAAAACGAGGAGGACTTTCATAGCGCGCGCGGTGATGCTGTTGTGATGTTTTGATTGGAGGAGAATACGTACCAGTAGGTCAAACAAATAAAAACAAAACTTAAATTTCAAGCTTGGACTCATAAAGCAATTCAGCGATGCGGTTGACGAAGAACGAAGGAAAAATGACACGTGCAGACCAGCCCGACTTCGTGCATACCGTCATTACTCCCGAATAGAATCTTAAGGGGTTTGCAGGCAGAGTGGCGCCAGTCAGCCTGACGGTCACTCAGTCAACCCCTCCGTTTGTCTGCTTGCTTATCTACCTGTTAGTTGACATAAAGCAGAACAGATCTGCGGATTCACCGAGTGATTCACAGGATCGAGGCTTCCGCCCAAGTTTTTCTGGACCTTTCTTTTCTTGTGAACCTGCGTCACCAGTGGCGCAAGCACAACATCAGCCTATGCCTCAAGGGTCGAGTTTACAATGTTGCGGTGCGCCTCATATTAACATACGGATCAGCAACCTAGTCTCTGGGCGCCAAGGACGTCAAAAGACTTTCAGTGTTTGATCATCGCTGTCTTCAGAACATTGCCCGAATCTGGCGGGATCACCAGATCAGCAATGCTGAAGTTCGTCTAATGGTATTGGGAAGAAATAATTCACCTTCGGTAGATTAACTAATCACACTGCATCGGTTGCGCTGGCTTGGCCATGTGCTGCGTATGCCAGTCGACCGACTTCCTCGGAGGGTTCTTTTCGCACAACCACGTGGAGGGTGGAGGAGTTTTAGAGACGGTTAATGACTTGGAAGGGAAGTGTAAAAGCCATTACCGGCAAAATTAGCTGCACTGGTCTTTGCCGTCGTCTTGGATGGGGAACTCCCGATGGGCCACATCGATTGTCAGGAAAATTGTCAGACATGGCCCAGTCGCGCCCTCATGCATCCAAGCTATTTCCTCCAATGCATAGCTCCCTTCCCAATCCCGCCACACGACACTACGCCTACAGTAGTGTATTTACGCATTAGTTTATCAGCTCCTGCCGCCACTGCGCAGCTACTTACCCCACCTGCTCGAATCATCGGTGAACGAATCTGTTGCGGCTACAACCAATCTATGACGAGTGCGCGGCTATTACAGTTGAAAATGATGCAGATTATGATGATTGTCGTTCGGCGGCTTCCCTTCACCTGAGAGGCACAAGCAAAAAAGGTTGTAGCACTGCCATTCACTTTTTCAGTGATGGGATGCAGATGATGATGGTTGTCTTTCGGCGGCTTCCCTTCACCTGAGAGGCACAAGCAAAAAAGGTTGTAGCACTGCCGTTCACTTTTTCAGTGATGGGCAATAGGCATGCCAACTTAAGGATTTGCATAAAAAAGACGTCCATCACTGCTTGGACCTGGGTACGAGATGTAGCGAGGACAGCCGTCGAAGGAAAATTATTCCATGCAGCAACTACCCGAAACGAGCGAAGGATTTGCCTAATTAAGGTGTGTAATCTGTGCCTGAAACTTCCACCCTGTCATTACCATGTATTGGCTAGAAAACCTGTTGGGCAAACCCTTTTAAAAATGGAAAATTACGTATTTGGTCACCCCGGAGTTAAAAATAGCCCAAGGGNGGGAAAGAGGTCAAGGACCGCAAGACATGTTGCACGGTCCACGGATTTAAGACCGACAACCATTTTCGTAAAAGCTCATTGAACACGGTGAATGGGGATCACGTCCTTCTTGCGTTCTGAGTCGAAGACTCGGTTGACATATTCAAGAAGCAGCCTGACGTAAGCCTTTATTAGGTATTTGCAAGTCCCTGCGATCTCTCCTGCAATCTCTTAGTGTGCCCGAGCTCGCACAAACCTACGCCACTAATTCTTTCTAGTTTATTAAGCTCGCGTCTGGAACAGCCTTCCTGAGCAGCTGCGAAGCATCACGCATCACCATGCTTTTTCTCAGTCTGTAGACAAATTCCCTACCTGTGAACCTGCTGCCGCCTTACTTAATACTCAACTGCCCTCTGACATCATCTACGAATCAGGTCCAGTGCACATAATAGTTGAGCGACGTTACGGTTTGTAGGCGAGTAAAGGATCCTGCTATCAGTTCTTCCCATCCTCTTGACCCGTTTTAAGCTTATAAAGGACTAAATGCCAGCTTGATCTAAATATGCAGCATTGCTGGCCTGATTGTTTTCTTTTTTCCCTTTTTCCCCGTACCAAATTGAACTGAAACCTCCATGCTTTACTGAACTATTTTTATAACTCTTACGGACATTGGTTGGACATTGTGATTGTTGCGGTTGCTCGCCGTCGGTATCTGTTTGGTTGTGACGATATCGATTTTGAGGCAAAGTGATCTGCGCTTTATCCTGAGGCTGGTAATTGTGCTGCCTTATTTTTGAAAAGCCTTGCGTTATCTGCAACGGAGAATCCGTCGAGGTTTGTTGCAATAGTACCGTGATTCCAGAATTCGGATTTCTTGNTAGAGCTCCACCCAGCGACCATACACAACCATAAAGTCTTGAATGAGTTACTGTGCGGGTGAATTCTGTACGATGAACCGACGGGAACTTTTTTGTGAGGGTATCGTAATAGAATCACCCGTCATATTTGTTCCCATTAAACACATGCACCCATTCCAGGGTTCCAGGTGATATGAACGTAAGAACTTGAGACGCAGCTGAATTCAGCGTAAAATTGACTTTTCGGGCGAGCGGGGTTTGACCGGCAATTAACTCACCTCATAAGCCTCTCCTAATTCCTGAAATTTCTGTTCAGCTTCGGGATCGTCCTTATTTCTGTCTGGGTGGAGAACTTTTGCTTGCTGTCGGAACCGTCGCTTTATTTCATTGGTGTCAGCGTTCCGCTTCACATTTAGAATGGTGTAGTAATCTCGCCTAAAGCCATTGTACATAAAAAAACAGTCATTTTCTCAGCAAAGACGCCAACCGCAACTGAGAGAACCAAAACGAGGAGGACTTTCATAGCGCGCGCGGTGAAAAACAGTCCGCACCAAAGACGACAACCGCAACTGAGAGAACCAAAACGAGGAGGACTTTCATAGCGCGCGCGGTGATGCTGTTGTGATGTTTTGATTGGAGGAGAATACGTACCAGTAGGTCAAACAAATAAAAACAAAACTTAAATTTCAAGCTTGGACTCATAAAGCAATTCAGCGATGCGGTTGACGAAGAACGAAGGAAAAATGACACGTGCAGACCAGCCCGACTTCGTGCATACCGTCATTACTCCCGAATAGAATCTTAAGGGGTTTGCAGGCAGAGTGGCGCCAGTCAGCCTGACGGTCACTCAGTCAACCCCTCCGTTTGTCTGCTTGCTTATCTACCTGTTAGTTGACATAAAGCAGAACAGATCTGCGGATTCACCGAGTGATTCACAGGATCGAGGCTTCCGCCCAAGTTTTTCTGGACCTTTCTTTTCTTGTGAACCTGCGTCACCAGTGGCGCAAGCACAACATCAGCCTATGCCTCAAGGGTCGAGTTTACAATGTTGCGGTGCGCCTCATATTAACATACGGATCAGCAACCTAGTCTTTGGGCGCCAAGGACGTCAAAAGACTTTCAGTGTTTGATCATCGCTGTCTTCAGAACATTGCCCGAATCTGGCGGGATCACCAGATCAGCAATGCTGAAGTTCGTCTAATGGTATTGGGAAGAAATAATTCACCTTCGGTAGATTAACTAATCACACTGCATCGGTTGCGCTGGCTTGGCCATGTGCTGCGTATGCCAGTCGACCGACTTCCTCGGAGGGTTCTTTTCGCACAACCACGTGGAGGGTGGAGGAGTTTTAGAGACGGTTAATGACTTGGAAGGGAAGTGTAAAAGCCATTACCGGCAAAATTAGCTGCACTGGTCTTTGCCGTCGTCTTGGATGGGGAACTCCCGATGGGCCACATCGATTGTCAGGAAAATTGTCAGACATGGCCCAGTCGCGCCCTCATGCATCCAAGCTATTTCCTCCAATGCATAGCTCCCTTCCCAATCCCGCCACACGACACTACGCCTACAGTAGTGTATTTACGCATTAGTTTATCAGCTCCTGCCGCCACTGCGCAGCTACTTACCCCACCTGCTCGAATCATCGGTGAACGAATCTGTTGCGGCTACAACCAATCTATGACGAGTGCGCGG